GGTGAGCCATGACAATGCATGCATCAGTGACACTATCCCTCTAGTCTTCCTGCTGGAGCACAAGCTGTTGGAATCATGGACAGGGTACTTGAGGCAGAACAACAGGAGAAAGAGGAGGACTTCCTTTACTCTCAAGGCCCCCTGTATGCAGATACCATTCCTGTGGGGCTGCAGAACACACAGGAGAAGGAGGGAAAGAGGAGGAGGATTGTGGCAGCATGGAAGTAGAGGACATACGGCAGTCTTCAATGGATGGTTTTCAGTCCCCAGAAACCCCAGGAGTAGTACGTGGCTGGGAGGAAGTAATTCCTGACAGTGTCATGACCCAGAGGACTCAGAATCTCATGCCTCCTTAAACTTACGCTGCATGGGCTCCCTGATTCTGCAAAGCCTGTGAAAGGACCCAAGGATTCACAGTATCAAGTAAAGTGATCATTACTGGTTGGCAACCCTTCTTGATCCACAGTTACAAGGGTAAAGTTGCAGAACTCATTCTACCTTTGCAGAAGGAGCAGAGGATTAAATATCTTGAGGACGCCTTGAAGAAAAAATTGGGTAACACCTTTCCAGACACTGGGAGGTTACCATTTCCATGAAAACGTGTTTCTGAGGCAAAGGAAGATCAGTGGAGAAGGCGACTGGCTTACTGATGCCTGCAAACAATTCTTTCGTTTTCAGCACCCAGTGCTGTTAGGTTTAAGCACCCATCAACGGTGTCTGTCTGCATTATATGGTGCAGGATTATCTAGGGGCAGGAGCAGATTTGGAGACCTTATCAACTGAGGATCCACTGGGTTACTGGGTCTTGAGGATGAATCACTGGCCAAAACTTGCTTTGTATGAAATCAAGCTACTGGCCTGTCTTACATCCAGTGTACTTTCCAAATGGACATTCAGTGCAGCTGGAGTTTTTGTGACAGATAAAAGTGCCTCTGTCCACAGACTCCATTGACTGGTTGACATTTATCAAAATGAATCAGTCCTAGATCAACAGCAGCTATCAAACCCCTGATGCAGCCGACACAGCTAGGAGAGAGGAGCCTAAACATGGCAGTGAGGGAGAGCTCGATGTGAGAGCTCTCCGTCAAGCTAGCCGCCTATCCCTCGGGAAGACCTGCCAAAGCTCCCGAGAGATGTAATTCAAAAAGATCTACCTATGAGAGGGGAGGGCCGGAGAAAGCTGTAGAGTACGGAGGTCGCGGAACGAGCAGTGGAGAGGCGGACGGAGCTCCGGGTGGACGTCACGGCGAGACAGCGGTAAATTCCATCCGGCGCAGCGGGCGGCCTGGAGCCAGAAGGATGCGTAAAGAACCACGTGACCGGCCACAAAGGAGTTCTGGGAGGGGGAGAAGCCAGCCGGCATTCCTAGGTGGAAGAGGACGCCAGTTGTCTTCTAAAGGATACGGGACTCATGCAAGTGTCCCTGGCCAAAGAGGACCAGGGAGGAAGCGGACCCAGAGGGGGGAATCTCCCCCTATAAAAGAACAGTGGGACATTGAGAATGGGGCTGTGGGAAATCACAGACCCCAAAAGGAAAAGCGGGATTTGGCTGGTATAAAGAAAGAAGGCAACAGGAGGGTGAGTGAGAGCAGCAAAGCTATCTGCATCTTTTGCATTATATTGAAAGAACTAAATTGTGATGCGCAAGTAAAGCGCGAGATCACCCAGGGGGTCTAAAAGGAGAAGAGGAGAGAAGAAGTAATATAGCACAAGACCTGGGGGATATAGACTCTGGCAGAGAGGGGAATTTAAAGTGACAAACAGAACAATAAAAGAAGAGGAAATTTCCTCCCATCCCCCTGCACCCTCCCTAGAACTTGGATAACTAGAACTATATTGTTGAGCGGCCTGAAAAATAAAGTGGCCAAAGGAAGTGGGCCCAAGGGTTCCCTAACAGGTACAATTAAAAAAATACATACCCCCACAGGGGAATTTGACCCCAGAAAGACAACAAGGAATAAGTGAAAGAAGTGAATTGGAAATCAGTGTGGAAGATAGCCTTAGACTATCCCTGGGAATGGTTAATAGCGGTCAACAAATAAAGGAAAGAACAGAAATGGGGAGAACAAGAAAATGACCAACAGATGCCAAATAAAAAAGAAATAGCAGATATGTTTAACCTCCTTGGCGGTATTCCCGAGTGTAGCTCGGGGTAACATTTCAGTACCAAAAGCGGTAACCCCGAGCTACACTCGGGAATACCATGCGGCACTGCTCCGGCATGTATTCTTCACTTACCTTACCCTGCGCTCCCACGATGTGTCCCCTGCAGCGTCCCCGGCCATCTCCTCCGGCCGATGCCGGCATCCGGCTTCTGTGTCCTGTCCCTGTGACGTCGGGACGTACGGGCGCCGCCGGCGGCGGGAAATTTAAAAATTTTAAAAAATGTCATTTTTTTTTTTTTTTTCATTTTACACAGTAAAACATTGCTGTTTCAACCCATTTCACATAAATATTGTCCCTAGTGCTTTGTCCTGCGCCCTGCCTGCATTTTGTCTGTTCTTTCTGCCTGGAAACTGAGAAATGTCCATGGCGTCCAAAAAGTGTCCCTTTAGGTCAAAAGCGGTTTAGATCAGCTAGAGAACAGCGATAGTAAATCAGAACCACTTACAGAATTGAGTGATAATGATTCGTGGGGGAAATTCGTCATCAGAAACTGAAAACGATTTTGCGACTGAGCTCAGCAATGTGCGAACTTGGCGCTCTATTTCACATTTCAGTGTTTTTGGTTTGATTATATTATTGAATTAAATTTTTTATTATGTTTATATTATTTTTATGATTATTTATTAAATTATAATTTATGATTTTGTGTTTCAAATTTTATCATACCCGGGATGTTTACTAGACTCTTGTTCGGACAGATTTCAGTGAGTTTTTCCTAAAAATTACAGCCTACAATAAAAAAAATACATATTTCCATGCAAAAAAATGGTACCGCTTTCAGCACCAAAAATCTGAAATAATCATACCGCCAGGGAGGTTAAAGGTCTTGAAAAATCAATAAAACAGGAGATAGCGATAATACAGAAAGATCTGGGGCAAATGTTATCAAGGATGGAAGAGAAGGAGGGGAAAGTGAATAAAAATGCCCAAAATATTTTGAAGTTACAAAAAAGAATGATAGAAATGAAAAGAGAACAAAGAAAGCTGCTATATAAAAAGGAGGATCAAGAAAACCAGGATAGGAGAGGTAATCTAAGGATATGGGGAATACCAGAGATTTCACATGGAGAAGATCTAACGGGTATAATATGTAAAATTTTGAATATCATAAGGGACAGATCTGCATCAGAGACTCTTAATCTGGACGGAGTATAAAGAATAGGAAGGCCCCAAGCTGAAAAGAGTAAAGGAAATAGAGAGATGTAATTGTGAAATTCCATAATTATGAGGATAAAGAAGAGATATAGAAGAAGATCAGAGGGAGAAAAATTATTAAATGTGGAGAAATAAATATTCAGATTTTTGCTGATTTATCTGCAGAGACATTGACAAGAAGGAGATCTTTGAAACCATTGTTGGAGCAGATGAGGAAGCAAAATGTGCAGTACAGATGGGGCTTCCCGGCAAGTTTAATCGGTTGGAAAAATGGGAGTACAGCAAGATTCAGATTTCCTGAAGATATGAGAGACTTCTGTGAGAGATTTGGTTTGCAGAGAACTGAGAAACCAGGGAGGGAGGATGAGGAAAGAGAGATAGGGGCTACTGGAAAGGAGGAATGGCAGGTAGTTGAAAGGAGAAATAGAGAGTAAAGAGGGGAGGGAGATGGGAAAGAGAATTTTCTTTTCTCCTGTGCTGCCATTCCCATCACCCCCATATTTTGCTCTTCTATTTTGCCCCCCTTGGGTGCTTTCCCTCTAACTCATGTCCAACTAGATGGGTCGTTGGAGAATTTTTTTTTTTTTTATTATTTAGAAATAGAGAATGGTAGGATATGGAGAGGGATAGGTGGCTGGTGATTCGTTCATGTTCGGAGTACCACCTTAAAATTGAATCTAAAGTGGGATTAGGACCACAAATGATTTGTAGGCAAAAAGATAGCCTAAGGGTTGGGTGAAGGGAGGGATAAAGGTGATACTCAGCATAAGGAAAGGAGATAGAAGATGCAGGAAGAATCCTAGGGAAAAAAAGAATGGAAAAATATACAGTAATGGAGGAGGTTAACTTTATGACTTACAATGTTAAAGGGTTAAATAGCCCAGAGAAAAGATTTAAGATACTTAGAGAGATACAAAAAAGATTTATTGTGGTAGTGTTTTTTACATGAAACCCACTTAATACAAGAAACAAGTGTAAAATTGTATTCTAAGCATTATCCAGTATGGTATTATGTAGACTCCCCAACTAAACGTGCTAAAGGGGTAGCAATTGGGTTTGCGAAAAATATAAGGTTTTGTTTGAAAGAAAAAAAAAATGGAGGATCCAGAGGGGAGATTTTTATTTTTAAAGGGGAAATTGCAAGAGGTAGAATGTACATTGGCAAATATATACTGCCCTAATAAAAAACTGTAGGTCTATCTAAAGAACATATTGAAGAAGCTATTGGATTTTAACCACTAGCCTACAGGGCACTTATACCCCCTTCCTGCCCAGGCCAATTTCCAGCTTTCAGCGCTGTCACACTTTGAATGACAATTGTGCGGTCATGCAACACTGTACCCATAAGAAATTTTTATTATTTTTTTTGTGACAGATAGAGCTTTATTTTGGTGGTATTTAATCACTTCTGGGTTTTTTGTTTTTTCTTAAACAAACCACTGAAAAGCCACTGAAAATTTTGAAGAAAAAAAAAGGTTTCTTAGTTTTTGTTATAAAATTTTGTAAATAAGTGATTTTTCTCTTTCACTGATGTGCGCTAATGAGGCTGTAGTGATGGGCACTGTTAGGCTGCACTGATGGACACTGATAGGTGGCACTGATGGGCACTGATGAGGAGGCACTGGTAGGTGGCACTGATGGGCATTGACAGGCATCACTGATGGGCACTGAAAGGCAGCACTCATATATGGCACTATTAGGTGGCACCGACTGGCACTATTAGGCGGCACTGATAGGCAGCACTGATGGGCACTGATAGGCAGCACTGATAGGTGGCACTGACTGGCACTGATAGGCTGCACTAAGTGGCACTGATTGACAGCACTGATAGGTGGCACTGACTGGCAGCACTGATAGGTGGCACTGATGGGTGACACTGAAAGGCAGCTCAGATGGGGACTGATATGTGGCATTGATGTGCACTGGTAGGTACTGAAATGTGGCACTGATGTGACACTGATGGGCACTGGCAGATGGCATGGATGAGCATTGACACATGGCACTGATGGACACTGACAGGTGGCACTGCTGGGGCTACACTGATCATCAGGGCACACTGATCATCAGTGCTCTGATGATCAGTGAAGATGTCCCCTCCAAGGAATGCCGATTACCAGCTCTCCTCTCGAGCTGTCAGCGTGACAGCTCATGAAGAGGGAAATGCCGATAAACGGCATTTCCCTGTTTACATGTGATCAGCTGTGATTGGACACAGCTGATCACATGACCGAGCCGACATCTTCGGCTCTTTACGTGGATCGGTGATCTGCTGTATCTGAGGGACACAGCGCACCACCGATCGCCGCGCTGCTCGCATGAGCAGTGAGAATGGGAGGACATCATATGCCACCTTGCGTCCTTCATTTTACTATATGGTGGGCAGGAGGTGGTTAAAAAAGGCAAATTAATTGTGGCAGGTGATTTTAGTGGTTGCATGGAACCGCAGATGGATATGACGTCACATGTGCTGAGAGAGGGGAACAAATATTTGAAAGTTCTAAGGAAAACAATACAACAGTGTCAGTTGGTAGATAGTTGGAGAATTCAAAATTTGAATGATAGAGATTATACATTTTATTCTCATGCACATGAGACGTATTCAAGATTGGATTATATATTGCTGGATCACAGACTCATTGGCCCTGATTTACTAAGAATTGAGTCTACCAGCAGACACTGAACATTCAGGCAGACTCAATTAAATCATTCAAGACCTGTCAGTATTCTGAAAGGTGTCTAGCAAACTCATTGAAAAGTGTCTACTTCAGCAATGGGCAAACTACGGCCCGCGGGCCGTATACGGCCCGGCGGACCTTTTAATCCGGCCCGCGGAGCGTGATACTGTCAGGATGGCTGTCAGGATGTGTGTAGGCGGGGCAGCGTGACGAACGTGAGGGGAGCTAGGCTCCTCTCACAGTCCGCCCTGAGACCGGAACGGCGCGGGAACACGGCGAGAGGAACGTGCGGAGCAAAGGTAAGTAAATTGACACAGGGGGGACTTGGGGACTTAATATGGGGGATGAATTAATATGGGGAATGAATTACTATAGGGGGGATGAATTACTATAGGAGGGATGAATTACTATATGGGGGATGAATTACTATGGGGGATGAATTACTATGGGGGATGAATTACTATATGGGGGATGAATTACTATGGGGGATGAATTACTATATGGGGGATGAATTACTATGGGGTATGAATTACTATGGGGGATGAATTACTATATGGGGGATTAATTACTATGGGGGATGAATTACTATATGGGGGATTAATTACTATGGGGGGTGAATTACTATATGGGGGATGAATTACTATATGGGGGATGAATTACTATGGGAATGAATTACTATGGGGGATGAATTACTATATGGGGGATTAATTACTATGCTTACTATGGGGGGAATATTACTATACTTACTATGGATGACACATACACATCATTCATCTACTCTTGGCCCGGCCCCCGGGTCCAACATATGAACCCATTGCGGCCCTCAAGTCAAAACGTTTGCCCACCCCTGGTCTACTTTGTAGACTCTTTCCTGTTAGTAAATGTGGAATCGCGTCTGGCACATTTTTAGGTGCAATACCGGATATGTTCGCTAGGTGGCGCACAACCTGGCTTTGTCCTGCTGGCGTTTTTGTGTTTGCATATGAGAATACTAAAAAAATATAGGTGTTCTTTTATTTTAATTATATTTTTTTGGGTTGCTGTTTCTCCAAAATGATCAGACAACTAATGCATTTTCTAATGAATGTCATACATTCTATTTTCAAATGTCAAACATTTTCACACTTACATCTCAAATAATTGGGAATGTCTAGTTCTAATTTCCCAATATAATGATATATCTTCCTTCTCTTTAATCATGTAACTATTCTATGTTAAAGTAATAGTGCAGCGCTATAAATGCATGTTATCAATCATAAACGCATGTAAAATCAAAAAAATGCAAATAATTGCAATAATGATGTAAACTGGTAAAGGGTGCTAAAAAAAAGTTCATATAATCATTCCTGAATAATGAAATGTCATTCGTGTGAGAGTACCAACTTAGAGTGCCTATGAATGGCACGTGTGGTTTATCCGTGACGGACAGTAGTGCAGACAGTTTATCCGTGAGGGACAGTATGGCGGACGCTCCTCAATGGCGGTGGCATGGCATGAGCAATAGGGCTCCACTCAATGCATTTCGTGTACCAACACGCCCTCAGGGGCACACCAATAGGACGTGTTGGTACACGAAATGCATTGGGTGGATCCCTATTGTTGACGCCACGCTGCCGCCATTGAGGAGTGTCTGCCATCTTGGTACTCACTTTGCTGTTATTTTTATTACTCCACGTGGATATTTTAAATTGTTACTCGTGACCATTATAATAAAGTACTACACTATTAAGCACCTTTCTGGCTCCAGTGGCTGACCTAATTCCTCCCCAGGACCATTTTGGCACCCACCCTGATGGATGGATGAGTAGGATGACTAACCCATAGCTGCCAGCATACCGCTGCACCCCCAGATGTGTGATGTGTATAACCCATGTGCATTAATACTTTTGTTCTGGTGAGTGTACACCCGTCCCAAGGAGGATTACCTTTCACGAGTCCATGCACTACTGTCCGTCACAGATAAACTACACGTGCCATTCATAGGCACTCTGAGTTAGTACTCTCACACAAATGACATTCCATTATTCAGGAATTATTATATATGAACATTTTTTAGCACCATTTACCAGTTAACATCATTACTGCAATTATTTGCACTTTTTTTATTTTACATGCGTTGCTGATTGATAACATGCATTTATAGCGCTGCACTATTACTTTAACATATTTCTATTCTGGGACTGTTGCCAATACCCTAAGTGCTAGCTGCTACCTTCATATCTATACCTATATTTATCTTGTGTATTACCATTTTAGTAGTCTATATAATTTTACCAGCGCTCGCTTTAGCATTATTTTTAAACAATTTAACTATTCTACATTGCAGCTCAACCTCTGTCTCCTACAGTGGCTTAGTGGTTAGAACTCAGAACTTACAGCACATGGGATCATAAATTCTAATCCCAGTCATGGCTGCAACTCAATTTGCATGCTTTCTCTGCACGGGTGTGTTTCTGCCAACACTCCAAAGACATGCTGTTAGGTTAATTGGGCCTAGTATATGTTAAAAAACAGCAATTTAAAAAAAAATAAAAAAAAAATCGGTCATTCAATTGGCCGATGTTACCATCAACAGCAAAAAAATTGCCCGATTTTCGTCCTGTCTACGGCCGGCATTTTTTACTTCTGTCCCTTGCAGAGAGCTCCGCTATTATATTTTACATTAAAAATATTGCGGTTGCAACATTGTATCCATTTCGGATATGGATGTTTTTATTTGGATACAAATAGATACATTGTTGCAACCGAAAGACTTTTCATGTAAAATATAATAGCAGACTGTAATAATTCTCCTTCTCCTTCTTCTTCTTCTCCTTATTCTTCTCTTCTTCTTCCTAACTTTACCAATAGAAAAAAAAAAAGTGCCAAAACCCCGAAAAAAGGCCAACCAATTAATCCACTAACGGTGCAAAAATTGGCCGATTTTTTTTTTTCGGCTGATTTTTGACCCATCTATGGCCTGCATTAGATTGTAAGCTCCTTGACATTTGTGAATGCCCAAAATATGGAGATCAATTTCCAAGGTTCTGTCAATGCCAGGAATATAGATCAATTAATTAAGATTTTGGCTACTGACTAGAAAGTGGAAAGGGAGTGAATCTTACCTGCGTCCTGTTCTGACAAGTTTGAAATTTTCAATTTTCCTTCTGTTTATATTTCATTACAACTTTATCTAAGGCTGCGTTCACACTAGCTTTGTCAGCAGGCATCAGACAGGCGTTTGGGAAGGGTTTTTTACGCTTCTCAAATGCCTATGAAAATTCTGCACATGGCAGCACATAGTGCTGTTCACACTGAAGCGTTAGCATTGCATTACGGAAAAACTGGCGCCTCATGTCGAGTCAGGAGGAGTTGAAGCCTCCCATTCAAGTCTATGGTGCTGCTCCTCAAATGCCTGGCAGACGTTTGCGGTGTGGTTGTGAGGCATTTTTGGAGTGTCAATACCATTTAACTTCATTACAGGCATTTGTGGTGCAGTTTTAACGCTTGGTAAATGCTTATCACATGCCTCAAAACCGCACATAGGGCATTTGGGGAGCATTTGACAAGTGTTAAAAACGCTTCCCAAACACCTGTCAAACACTATAGGGGCGTTTGGCAAGAGTTAGAAAAAAAGTCAAGTGTGAACGAGCTCTTAAACCTCTCTCCTTATACAACTTGACCCCCTCCCTGTCATCACCTGTTCCATCTGCAAATCTATGTATCCCTGCCCCACTCCTTTTATTTAACTATTTATTTATTGATCTTGTTAATGTGTCTCATTTCCTATCACCTACAGCTCAGATCTCGCATTATTATATGATTTCTGATTGTATCTCACCACTAGCCTGATTGAATTTACAATTCCTGGTCAGTCCTGTTCCCTGACCTATAATAACCTTTAGGGCCAGTTCACACTACATGTGTTTCAGCTGCTTTTGTTGCATCCAAAATGCACAGAAAGAAGGTTATATGGTTGTCAATGTCATAGTTCACATCAGCGCTTGCAGTTCCAGTGTGTTGCAGGTGCTACCAAAAAAGTCAAACAGGCTGCATTGTTTATGCAGAGAACTGTACTGGAACGCGGTAAAATGCCCTGGAATGCACTAAAACGCACATGTCCCTAATTAAATTTTAGAAAAAAAGAGGGGAAAAAAATTAACTAGAATGCATAAAAAAATGCACTGGAACATGTCAAAAATGCATCCAAACTGCACTGGAACACACCAAAAACACATCCAAAATGCACTGGAAACACACAAACGCATCCAAAATGCAGTGGAACACATCAAAAATGCATCCAAAATGCTCTGGAACACGCTAAACATGCATCAAAAAAGTGCATGCAAAAACGCATCTGGAACACATCTAGACTGTTTCTATAGCGTGAACTGGCCCTTAGGACTTGTTCTCACCATTTGTGGTGCAGAAACGCATGCAAGAGCATGCATTGTCCAGCACAGCAAAGAAATGCAATGCCCTCTGCAGATGTGCGCAGGTACCATGATGAAAACTTAATTACACCTCCACATGTCTAGTAAACACAGATGCATTCACAGCCACCAAAACGCATGGCACCACATTACTGTGCGGTTAGGTGCAACACACTTTTACAATAACATGCCTGCAGAATTTTTGCAT